CCTCTGGGCTTTGCCCCCAGCACACCCTCCCCTGTGCAGCTCATCCTGCAGGATCTGCCATCCCCCTGCACCTCCACCGTGCCTGGCTCCATCCTCACTGTTACTCACACCTCTCACCCACCACAGCACTTAAGCACGAAAGACATGTGGAAATGAGTGGCACTAACAGGAGTATTAATTAAAAAACCATCTGTTGAGCCAAGGAGAGCTTCCCCCCTCCCACAGCCAGCCTTGGGCTGGGACAGAGCTCGGGGCAGGGGTTTGGCCCCCTGGCAGAGCACAGTCAGGCCAGGGGAGGCCATGGGGCAGAGCAGCCCAGGGGCTGGGCCAGGGGAGGGCAGGAGGAGGTAGCCATGGAGCCAAGCTCCACCTGGAGCAAAAGGCATGTGGTACTCACCCAGTTCACTCTGCCTGCCACCCCCAGGCTACTCACCATTAGCAGGTCACAGCCCATGCCCCCTCTGTGCAGTGCCAAACAGCCCTGCTTCCCTGCAGGTGGGCACAAGGCAGGTCTGGGAGGGACCCCCTTGATGCTAAACCCCTTCCTGCTCAGCAGCAGCAGTCAGGGCTGGGAGATCCCGAGCCCAGGCTGGTGGCCATGCAGCAGAAACTGCTGCAGCATCCTGCTGTGGAGTCATTTCAAGGTGGAAGGAAGCAGGGATGGAGTCCAGTGCCAAGCCAGGCTTGGTGGGCAGTGCCATGGGCACACTCAGCATCCATCTGCTCTCCAGCTAGGACCTTCCTACAGTGGCTTTGACTGTGCCCCCATGGTGGCTCACACACTTTCAGGACAGTGTCAGTGGCAGGGGGGGCCTGTCCTGGTTCTGTCATGGATGTTCAGGGCTCCAGGGACAGAGCAGGCAGCAGAACCCCTGTGCATGATGGGAAAACCCGTGTGGTTTCCTGTAAATATATTTTTAATTACCCGTGGCGGTGCTGCTGGTCCTCCAGCTCCCCCAGCAATGCCATCACATGTGCTCCAGACCACCTCCTCCTTCCCTGGGGGAATGACAGCTCTGGCTTTTCCATTGCTGCTTCCTGAGGAGTCAGGGCAATCCCCAGGGAGCACAAGGCTGTTCCTGGCTGGAACCAAGTGTCTCTTGGTGGCCCCTGGGGAAAGGGGCTCTCAGGGCAGGACCAGAGACCCCCTGGAAGGAGCCCTGCAGTCAGTGTGTGGAGCTGCCCATGGGAAAGACTTTGCAGCTGGGAGGTGAAACCTCTCCTCCCAGTTATCTGTGCTGGCCCCAGTGCTCCCAGGGCAGTTTTGACCCACTTGATTCCTCAGCAAGGGGTGCTGCAGCCCTGGCCAGGCTGCTCTGCAGATCCCCCACTCCAGCTCTGGTGGCTAGATCTAGCTGATCTAGCCCTGGCCTGTGTGCAGGGAATCCCTGGCACAAGGAGAAATCACAGCCTGCAGCACTGATGGGACAGACACTCCTGGAACAGCCACAGGCACACGTGCTGCCTTCCCCCTAGAAGGAGATGTGAGCATCCCCTGCCCCTGGAGAGCCCTGGGATAGAGCCAGACAGCAAGGCAGCCCTGCAAGGGTGAGTCCAGAACATCTCTTCTCCTCTCAGATGGCAGCCTTGGGATGGATGGAGCTCATGGAAGGAGCGAGGCTGTAGAGACACGTGGTGAAGAGAACAGACATCCAGGGTGGAGGCCTCCCTCAGCCAGCCCTGGCTGGCCCAGCTCTACCTGGAGGAGCCTGTGAGGGGGGCAAAGGCAGCAATGTTGAGCTGTTTGCAGCCCCCGGGTGTCAGTGCCAACCCTTCCCAGGGAGCAGCAACCTCAGGGCACCCCCGGCGCTCACCGCAGGGCACGTGGCAGTCGCACTCGCAGATGTCGCAGCGCTGGAACCAGCGGGCCCAGCCCGACCGCTTGGTGACACAGGACGAGATCTTGATGCAGCCGCGGTTCAGGGGGGCCCCCAGGTGGGCCTGGGAGCTGCAGGACGACGAGCACTCCCCGGTGATGTCCCGCTCGCTGATCTCGATCCGGCCCCGCAGGCAGATCCCTGCGGGAGCGGGGACAGGGCACGTCCACGGGTGCCCACTGCGGGGCACTTTCCCGGGATGGGGGGGCTTGGCATGCCCCCAGGCTGTACTCACGGAGGCAGGTGGGCTTGGGGGTCCAGCGGCCGTCGGAGCGGCAGGTGCTGACGGCGTCCCCCAGCAGCAGGAAGCTGGGCCGGCAGCTGTAGCGCACCACAGAGCCCACCCACCAGTCGTTCCCGTGCACCACCGAGTTGAAATCCGCCTCGGGCCGCCCGCAGTTCACTGCCAACGAGGAGGGTGTCCTGTCTGACACCACCCTGCCCAACCAGCAGCCCCAGGGGTGCCCCAGGCAGGGCTGTGGGGCCTGGATCCTGGGCAGGATCCGTGTCCCCACGTGGCCCCAAGACCAGGCTGCTGTTGGCACTCACACACCTCTGTGTGTGGTGTGTGGTGTGTGGTACAAACCCTGCCCTCCTCAGGCTGCCTGTGCCGAGCCCTGCGGCAGCCCCAGGACCCCCACCCCGGTCTTCCCCCACTTGGTTTTACCTCTGCAGAAGGATTTGTAGCCCAGCCAGCAGCAGCTGCCGTTCCCACACTGGCTCCTCTTCAGCTCCTTGTGCTTGCCCTTGCAGCCCCCCACGCAGATGGGGGCTGTGCCAGACCAGTAGGTATCCTGGTCTTCTGGTGCCACTGAGAGCAAGGCTGGGGGGGTGAGGGCCACCATTCCCATCAGCTCCCCAGCCCTCAGAGTCCCCCAGGGAGGTGTTTGAGGCCACCAAAGCTCCTCTCAGCCCACCCCTTGACCCTCGCTGTGGTGAGCCCTCACTGCCAGGACCCAGCTCCCCCTTCCCCTGTGCCAAGCCCCAGCACAGGGGAGTGACAAAAGTCTTGCTCCTTACTGGGGAAGACTGTTCCAGCAGCTCTGGGGCACCCTGCAAGCCCCTCACCCCCCCCAAAAAATGCCCTGTTACCTTCTGGGTCCTCGCAGGAGACCAGCGTGGCCAGCAGGGCGAGGAAGAGGAGGCCCAGTGCCATGATGGACACCCTGCCCTCCTCCCCTCGCCCCTCAGACCACAGACCCCCCTCTCTGCTCGCCCAGGAGAAAGTGAACTTGGTTTTCCATACACACACACACAGGGGACAGGGGCTGCTGTAGGACATGGGGGAAGGGAGGAGACATTCCCTCTAATGCCAATCCTCTCCCCAGCAGATAATCTCTGGCAGATTACCCTGCCCAGGCCCGGTGTTTAAAGGGACAACTCCCAGCCACCACAGCCTCTCCTCCAGTCCCAGCACCCACCACTCCATCCAACACCAGGCAGGCACAACCCTGGCTCTGGCAGGATGTTGGAAGGAGGGCCAGGCTGGGAGTGCTGCGAATGCAAAGCTGGCACAGGGCCCTTCTCTCGAAGGTATCCTTGGCCCAGCTCTGCCAAGGACCAGGGAGCAGGGGCCAGGCAGGGAGGGAAGGCTGGGCAAGGCCTCAACCTTGCATTCCAAGCCCAGGGATGCCCTGCCTGGATCGAGGAGCATCCTCTGGCATCTGTGCTGTCAGGGCTGCTGGGACACCCCCTGAGCCCTACTTGTGTTCCACTCACCCCTGCAGAGCAGAGTTTTGGGGTGCAGGGGGGCACTCTGCCCTTCCCACACGGATCCAGCCCCAGGACACCCTCAGGCAGCTCTGGCCACTTCATCCCTGGCTCCATCCCCAGCTCCTGGATGGCCCCTGCACAGCTCAGTGCCCCTCACCCAGGGCTGCTCAAAGCTGCCCCACCCCAAGGGCACAGCCACCAAACCACAGCCAGTGGGTGCAACTGGAAAGTGAGCAGATGGCCAAGGGTTTAGGATAAAGGGATTTCCTCCACTAAACTGGAATTCCAACAGCTTTTGCTCAAGGAAGGAGCAAGGGGGAAAAGTCAGTGTCCAGCAAGGTGCATCCCTGCCTCCACTTGGGCTCATCACCTCCCCACAGGGTAGAGGGCACAAAGGTCACCCCAGGGACCCCAAATTCACACTGTCCTTGGCCAGTCACTTGACAAAGGACAAGCTGGCTCTGCTCACAAATCCGGGCTCCTCCCTGCTTTCAAAAAAGGCCAGAGCAGGCAGCACAGCCCTGGAGGAGGCAGCAAAAATCAAACCCGCAGCAGGAACAGGAGTGCCAGAGCTAAACCCGGCCTTCCAGTGCCACCTCTGGGGACGAGGAGCAGCACAACTCCAGTGCCAGCTGCACGGTGCCAGGAGATCCTGGCAGCTCTCCAGTGCCCACCTCCCACACTGCAGGCTCAGGGTATCCCAGTGCCACCTTCTGACACCCCAGCTGGCAGGGATGGGGCTGAAACACACACCAGCCACTGCCTGGCCTGGCAGCCTGATCTTTATTCGTCCTGCCAAAGTACACTCTGCCCAACCAGGAGCCCAAACCCCAATGTGGGGAGGAAACCCAGGGAATGACAAAAGCAGAAGGGAAGCTCCCAATGTCCCAGTGCTGCAGTGGCCTGCACGGGAAAGCACCTCCAGCCCGCTCCTCCCAGAGACTAATGGGACCAGGGGTGCAACCACCACCACCAGCACCAGCTGAACCAGCAGAGATGAAGTGCAGGGACGTGCTGATGAAGGCATTGCCATCCCCTGGAGAAACTCTGGCTGGGGAAGGACACTGCAAAAGGCCACACATCTCCCCAGGGAAGAGGCTTCAGCACCAGTGTCTGCCCCACACACCATCCAGCCTGGAAAGGTCCTGGCTGAGGAACAGGCTCAGCAAGGGACCACATCACCCACCAGTTCCCTGGGCCAGGCCTAGGCCAAACCTCCTGGGAGGGTGGGAGAGGCTTGCTAGTCCCTAATCCCCAAGAGGAGGAGACAGCCAGCCCTTCCCAGCTCACCTCCCTTGATCCACGGCTGAGACCTGTCCTTCACCTCTCCCCATGCTGCCCAGAGCCAGGGGCAGCACAGGGTGAAGACAAGCCCACCCAGGTACCCCAGGCACCCCCCGTCCTCCCCCAGCAGCACATCCCACCGAGGCCCAAGTTCTCCCCACGAACACAGCCCTGGGGGCACCTCACACGATCTGGATGCCCAGCTCCTCTGCTGTCTTCTGCAGCCTGTCCATGACATTCTCCTCCAGCTCCCCAGCCAGCCCCGCAGGGGTTGCTGTCCCCTGCTCCTCTGGGGCCGTGCTGGCCATCACGTAATACACAGTCTCGCTCTGCCCGTGCTCGTTGGTCCTGTTCACCACCCGGATGATGGGGCTGCTGGGGGTGCTGGGCTCTTGCTCTGAGGACAAAGCTGGCCCTGGGAAGGTGCTGGGCTCTTGCTCTGAGGACATTGCAGCTCCCTGGAAGGCGCTGGGCTGGGCTGGCTCGGGGCACAGCTCTGAGACCCCGCTCTCCTCTGCCAGGGGAGCGTCCGCTGGGGGCTCCAGGATGATGCCCTGCAGGTTGCCCTCCCCCTCGGGCAGCACCACGCACTCGGCTGGGCCCTCCAGGGCCTCCCCACGCTTCTCCCTGTCCTTCAGGAGCTGCTCTGTGAGCTCCACGCTCTCGTAGCGCACCAGCTGCAGCCGCATGTAGCCATCCTCATGCTCCCTGTACCTGGCACACACGGGCAGGGGGGTGGACAGTCACACTCCCCTTCCCAGGAGACAGGAACACACAAGGAAGGGGGATTCTGGGAGCTCAGCGCAGGCAGTACCTGAAGCGAGGGTGCCCCGAGGGCCACTTGAACTGGTGCTTCTTCCTGAGGTGCACGGTGAGGTTGTTCCCACGCGTGAAGCACTTGTCACACACGTGGCACTTGTACCGGGGCTCCGAGTCACCCTGGGGGGCACAGAGAGGGGGGTGAGCACAGGAGGGGGAATCAGCCCCTCTGGGAAGCCTGGCACGGGGTAACACGAGCAGTGCAAGCTCTGCTGCCTTCCCACCTCGTGGACCTTCCTGTAGTGCAGTTTGATGGAGCAGAGGGAGCGGGCAGAGAAGCTGCAGGCCTCGAACTCGCAGCGATACGCCGGCTCCTTGCTGTGCGTGTCCAGGTGCTTCCTCAGATCAATGAGGTTCTTGCAGCTGGAAGGAAAGGGGGAGGGAGGGGACACAAAGCTGTGAACACGGCAGCACAGGCACACAGGTGCCCCTGGGAGGAGGGAGAGCCCCTGCCCTCACCTGTAGTCACAGTAGTCACACTTGAAGGGCCGCTCCTCGCTGTGCCGGAAGCGAATGTGGTTGCGCAGGGAGGAGGGCAGGGGGCACGTCATGTCACACAGGGGGCACTTGTAGTGGTTCACTGCGCCAAGGACAGGGGGAAATGTGACCCCAGAGCAGGGCAGAGCGCTCTCTGCTCAGGGGTTCAGCCGGGAGAAGGGCCCTTGACTCACCGTGGTTCCTCATGTGGTCGCGGAGCAGCCTCTCCGTGGCAAACCTCTTGGAGCAGTGGGAGCACTGGAACCTCTGCTCTGGGACAGGGAGCAAGGGGAGGGGGTGGTGAGAAAGGAGATCAGAGCAGGGAGAACAGCACAGAGAGCAGCAAGGGAGAAATAAAGGTGGTTACAGAGGGGCTGGAAACCCTCTTCTGCAGGCAGAGACAGCGCACACTGATTACAAAGCCAAACTGAAAAAAAAAAATCCCAAAACAACACTTGCAAAGACCAAAAGGCACAGCCTCCCAGTGCAGAAACTGGGGAGCAACCATCACACACACCGTCAGCACAGGGAACTGAGCCAGCAAATCCCAGTACTGCTGCCTGGGACTCTGCTCTGGCTGAGCAGTGTGAGCCCTCCAATCCTGCTGCTGCAAGAAGACACTCCTCAGAAGACACAAGCTGTGCCAGGGGAGGTTCAGGTTGGACATCAGGAGGAATTTCTGCATGGAAAGGGTGGTCAGGCATTGGAAGGGGCTGCCCAGGGAGGTTTGGACTCCCCATCCCTGGAGGTGTCCAAGGAAGGACTGGGCTGGGTGACAAGGTGGGGATCGGGCACAGCTCGGACTGGATGAGCTTGGAGGTCTCTTCCCAAACATCCCAGCCCCAGGAATGCCTCCCCTAACCCCTCCCTGCCCCCGGGGCTTACGGTCCAGGGCGGTCTGGCGGCGGATGTGGTCGAAGAACTTGGTGTTGTTGGCAAACATCCCCCCGCAGGTGGGACAGGCCACCACCTTCTCCTGCGTGTGGCTGCGCAGGTGCTCCCGCAGTTTGCAGCGCCCCTTGAAGCTGCAGTCACAGTCTGGGCACAAACAACAGCACAGTGAGACCCCTCACAGCTGGGCCACTGACTGAGCACCAGCCTTCTTCTCTCTTGGGCAGCAAGGCCCCCAGAAAGCCCAGGGAGCAGGGGCACAGCAGGGGGAGATCGTTGGGGTACAGCTGGCACGACCCCTGCCAGCAGTTGAGGCAACTGCACAGACACAGGAGGAAATGGCAGATAAAAATAAACTCCAGCCTTTTCTTCTAGGGACTAATTAAATATTAATGAAAAGCTCAGTGTCAAGCACTCAGCTGGATGCCCTGAAGCAAATCCTGCGGGACATTTCCCTCTCAGCACCACGCACATTTCTGAAGGTCTGAAACCCTCCTGAGCAGCAGAGAGCTCTCCTGTGCCACATCTGCAACCCAGCCCCGTGCAAAAGCCCCTCTGGAGAGGCCCTGGAGCCACACACAGACCTTTCCAGCCACAGAGCACCACGTGGTTCTCCTTCCCTGCTGCCTTGTACTCGGAGCAGAAGCTGTGATCCTCCACGTGCCGGTAGAACCACTCGGGGTTATCAAAGGATCTCTGGGGAGGAAGGACATTAAAAACAGGGTCCAAAAAAAAAAAGAGATCAGCACAAGCTCAGGTGCTTTCACACAGGCCCCAGCAGAGCCAGCAGCAGCTCTCCCTCCCTGGGTTAAACCAAGCCCCCTGTTCTCACCTCACAGTACTCCCACAGGCACAGGAAGTTCTCCTGGATCTCAGGGATGATGTTCCTGCTCTGGAAGTCCAGCTGGCAGTGGCTGACGTCCCCCTGGCCCTGCAGGGCCCGCAGCCCCCACTGCTTGAGCTTGGTGTGGTAGCAGTGGAAGTAGACGTGGCGCACGAGGTCGGAGGGGCTCTCCGGGGAGCAGAACCCACAGTCCTGCCACAGGCACGTGTACTCCTCTGCAACACACACAGGATCATCAGCCAGGCTGGGAAAAACCTCTGGGATCATCCAGTCCAGTGGGCAGAGGGAAAACCTCCAGGGAGGGGAATGCCACGGGGGTTTTGCTGAGATCCTACTGGGTGCCTGCACGGCCTGAGCACACACGGCCTTTGCCACCTGCTGCTCTTGGTGTTTTTCCATTCCTCCGAAGAGCAATTACACCCCAAAAAAGCCCAGCGGCCTCCCCTGGGAAGGCAGGTCACGTGACAGGCCAAATTATCTGCAGGCCAACGCTGGGGGAAGCAAACGCCACAGGCAGCACCGCTCTGCTCAGGGAGGGGGGCAGGAAGGAGGCCAGAAACATTCTCTTCTCAGGGAATCGCAGGTTGGAAAAGACCTCCAGGATCATCCAGTCCAACCTGTGCCCCATCCCCACCTTGTCACTGAGTGCCACGTCCAGCCCTTCCTGGGACACCTCCAGGGCTGGGGACCCCAAACTTCCCTGGGCAGCCCCTGCCAGTGCCTGACAGCCCTTTCCATCCAGAAATCCCTGCTGATGCCCAGCCTGGCCCTCCCCCAGCACAGCCCGATGTTCCCCAGGAGCACAGCCCGACTTTTCCCCCCACCGGCTCCCCACTCCTGTCGGGGAGCAGCGGCGAGCGAGGAGTCCTCCAGCCCCTCACCCAGCGGGTCCACCTCGTCGCGGTGCTCGCCGGGCAGGTGCTGCTGCAGGTGCTGCGCGACGTGCCCGCAGAACTCCTCCATGCCCGCCGCCACGAACGAGCACTGCTGCCACTCGCACTGCAGCACCACGGCCCCCTTTCCGCCGGCCCGGCCGGGAGGCATGGCCGGAGCCCCTGAATCCTCCTGCGGCCAGCCGGGAGCGGGTCGGAGCACCGCGGGGTGCGGGGAGAGCGGGAACGAGACCCCCCTCAGAAGCAGCCCCTCCGCCCGCCTCTGCCCCGCTGGGGGGCCCCGCAGCGCGACGGACCGAGCCCGGCAGCCAATAGGAACCGGCCCCGCCCCAGCCCTCCGGCCAATCAGCGCGCGGGAAGGCGTCGCGCGCGCGGGTCCGGCCGGGAAAGTGGCGCCGCTCGCTGAGGGTTCCGGGGCGCTTTGGGTCCCAACGGGGAGAGGGAGGATTCCAGGGATTCCCGTTCGGAGTCGGGAAAACCCCCACCCCGGGAGCCGGGGCAGCTCTCCGCGGGATCGCCGAATAGCTGGGGTCGGAGGTTACCTGTGAGGGTCATCCAGTCAGCCCCCCATGTGCAGGCAGGGTCACCTGGAGCAGGTGATGCAGGAGCACGTCCCGGTGGGGTTGGGATGACTCCAGAGGCTCCACGCCCTCCCCGGGCAGCTGTTCCAGCGCTCTGCCACCTCCATGGGAAGAGGCTCTTCCTCACACGGAGGTGGAACTTGTTGTGTTTCAGTTCATGGCACAGGATGCCCAGGGTTTCCCCATCCTGGAACCGTCCAAGGCCAGGTTGGAGCATCCTGGTCCATTGGAAGGTGTCCCTGCCCATGGCAGGGGGGTGGGACTGGATGACCTTTAAGGTCCCTTCCAACCCAAACCATTCTGAGTTAATTTTTGGCGCCTCCAGGACAGTTCCTTGCCCAAATAAGAGCCCTTACAACGAGAACCCACCAAGCTGGACACAAACCCCAGCAATTCCCACCACGAGCTAATGCCACAAATTCCCTTTACTCAGCAACCAGGAGATGGATTGAAATGACAGTTTAAATTAAACAAATCTACACTGACTGTCACATCTGCTGTCCTGGGCTCTTTTTTTGTGGCACAGAATGGAGGCACAGTTCTCAGAGTTTGCTTTGGCACAGGCAAATGTCTTATTAAAAACAAAAGGGGTTGAACAAAACATGCCCCAGAGCGTGCTGGGCACAATGGTTCCTGTCACTCCTGGCACACTCAGTGGCTCTGCCCTCGATGTGAGTGGGGAGCACGTGCCCAGACAAAGAGAATTACAAAGAGAACCTGGCTGTGATGCTTTTTCAAATGAAAGCACGGGGTAAGAGGTGAATAATCTCACCTCAAAGAAGGGCTGGCCGAGTTTTTTGCTTCATCTCTCTTTTGTTTCCTGCAAAGGTTGGTTTGTTTTCAATGCAGTTCCTTTGCAATCAGCACAGAGAGCACCTGGACTGACTGAACACCTGAGTTACCTCCTGCAAGGGAAGAATATTGGGGGATTATTCAGGATGTTGGTTCATCTCTGCCCTAGTGATACAGACACAGCCCTTGCCAGCTGCTGCTCTTGGGGGTTTTTATTTCCTCTGAAGGAAAAGAGTAATTACAATTAAAAAAAACCACCAAAAAACCAGAAAGGCTGATCACGTGACAACCCAAATTAATCTCCAGGCCAATGCTGGGGGAAGCACAGGGATTACAAGGAGGGAAGGATCTTTCCTAATGGCCCCACGAGCTGGCAGCAGACTCCACGAGGAGGAATATTGAATTAGGAGGAACATGCTGGCGCCAGCCTTGCCCTGCTCCTGTAAGATGAGCACAAGTGCTGCACATCAGCCCCCTGTGCTTGTGCAAAGAGCACTCCAGAGATCCTCTGCCTCAGCACGGCCTGCCCTCCCTCTCCTGACAGGGAAAATGCTCCCTGGCAGTGACTAAAGGGGAGTTTAAAGGTTTAGCTGTGCCCTGTGGTTCAGACACCACACAAACGGCCTCGCCGCCCACGCAGGAGTGGCTGTGGCAGCTCTGGCCAACATTGCTTTCAATCTGGGCCCAGCAGCAGTGTAAAACAGGTCCTTTCCTGGCTGCTGTTCCCTCTCCTGCTGCCTCCCTGCAGGACAAACCCAGCCCTTCCCAAAGGGGACCCCTCCCGAGGAACGTGTGGGTTTGCTGGTGGACACTCTTGCCAGTCCCACGAGCATTCTGTCCCTGGCTGAAGGTGATCCCCCTCCCTGCAGGTGCCTGTGGGTTCCAGGCAAAGCCCTGCTGGGTTCCCAGAGTCCAAAGGGACAGTTTTCATTACACAAAGCACAATCTGTGGGGTCCCAGAGAGGCAGAGCTGCTGTCCAAGCGAGGTCCCCTGTGCGTGTCTCCAGCAGCTCGTGGGTGTCTCACACTCCACAAGAGAAGATCCTGTTGTCCCAAGCCTTGTTTTCCCAAGAAATGGCTCATCCCTGCAGGACTTGCCACCCTCTCGCTTCCAGCCAAGGTTTTTCTGTCCCCAAACCTGGGATTTCACCCGTGAAATGTCAGGTTGGACAGGAAGGAGCCTCTCTGGGAAGGATCCACACTGACCATGCAAATGGGAGCGAAACCCAGACCCAGGGATTTGCATTTAAGCAAATCCCAAGTGAGGCATCGTGGAGAGACACCCCTGAACTGGAGAAAACCCATTTCCTCCAGCTTTCCCAGCTGGAAGTTTACCAGGGGAACATGAGCACAGGCTTCACTCTGCCCTGGGAGGCTCATGACAGACACAGCCCTGCTCCAAAATCCTGCAGGATCCAAGAGCTGGCGCTTGGCAGCAGCAACAACCATGGAAACAGGTGAGTTGCAGCACCCTTGACTTTTTCACAGGATGCATCCCCATGGAATTAGCAGGGAGAGAACATTCTGTGCTGTTCTTGGGCTCGTATTTTAAAAAGAAATAATCAGAAAGAATTGTCTTGAAATCAACACGTGGCATCTTTGGTGTCCCAAGAATTTAATGGTATCAATTAGCACGTTCTGTCTTCTCTAAGCTGAATTTATATTCCTCCACAGTGCGATGTTTTTCAAAAGGCAGTTAGATCAAAGTGATGTGAAATATGATTCAATTTGCCTGAAAATTATATAAACTCGGGCCCAAATTAGCATTTTCTTCCACAATGCTGCCAGTAGCAGAGTTATCTGAAGTTTTAATAGCTCAGCATCAGATGCTGCTGAATAATTCACTGAAAGCAACAGGTTTGAGTTATGTGAGGCTGGAGTGAAAACTTAAAAACAAGGCTAAGGGGCAGAGCCATTGCATGGCTTAATTAGAAATCAGTGTGCAGATTCATGCATTTCTGGCCACTTCAGGTACTCACTGTTTGATGTGGGACTCAGAGTTCACCTCTGTTTTTGGGGCCCTGCCCCTTGAATGTGTTAACCTTGTTCCTAGCCTTGGTTCTGGTTAGCACTCAAACACCAAAAAACAAGCTGTAATTGCCCAAAACTGCAATTCCTCTGGCCCAACAGCCAACATTTGGGGTAACCCCAAGCCAGCACGGTGTTGTTTAAACCCTCTGCTCTTCCCTTTCCACTCCCTCCCTGTGTTTCCCGTGTCTGTGCACCTGGGGACACAAAACCACAGGAAAGAAAGGGATGAACGAGGCCAAATGACACATCCTGGAAAAGCAGAAGAAGGGCCAAATGATAAATTTTTAGAGATCAAACACACCAGCTGCGGGATGGCAGCTTGTGTTCCCTCGGGAGAACGTGGCTGTGTGTTTTCCAAGGGATTAACTTCAAAGTTAAGTTGTGGTTTTTTTTTTTTTTTCCTCCCCAGAAGATTTCAATAAAAGCCAGTAGGGAAACCCCTCCCTGGCCCCACAGGTGGGAGCTCTGTGTTCAGGCAAAACAAAAGCCCAAAACCTTCAGAAAGCCACAAAAGACCTGCATGAAAGCCATGTGGCACTCAACGTGGGAACACAGGTTAGGGCACCTCAATCTCCCTGTGTAGATGAGCAGCCCTCACTGCTGAGCTCCATTTTTGTATTAATAACTGCAGTTTCTCCTTCCTGACTTGCTATCTAGATGTGATGAATTTGCTCCTTCTGCAACAACCTCTTCCAGCTGCTCTGGGCTCCCCCCTGAGCTCCCTAACGCTCATTTCCCCCCCTCAGTCCCCACAGATTTTGGCAAACGTGTGTACCAAGGAGTGAGGGTGAAACACACGGTCAAGGATCTTCTGGCTGAGAAACGCTCCAGGCAGAGCAGTGGCTCCCACTTCAGCGTAAGTCACTCCCTCTCCACCACGTTTTTAACCTCCAAAAAAATCATGCTATCCCACTCTCTGCTTTAAAGAGCACTTTGGTAGAGTTCAGGGTCCCTCCAGTGCTGGCAGGGAATAGCGAAAACATTTGCAACACCAGTGCTTGTCCCAGAACATCACTGACGGCTCCTCGATTTTTTTCCATCAGTGATCTAATGCCCAAAAGTGGTTTTTTCTTCCTATTTGGAGCATATCAGTAATGCCAAATTTCTCATTCCTTTCACATCCTGCATGGGACACCTCTCCAAGTCGACTTCCTTTCCCCCTCGCTCCAAGCTGCACTCGAACCAGTCAGTGCCACAAAAATAGCTGTTCTTCCCCGAATGTTGTGCTCCTTCCAGCTCCTCCCTGGCACACCAGAGCGTGCCAGGGGAGATGCAGTGATGCTATGGGCTGGCAGCAGGCCAAGCAGCAGCTTGCAGGAGATGATCTCTTCCTAAAGTGGTTCTATAGCAACAGGAAGCCCCAGTCAGGCTCTCATACACTACACTGTTTTTTTTTTTTCCCTCAATTGCCAGCCAGCAAAGCAACGCTGTCCCCAGGAGAGGATACAACATTGCAGTGCCAGCACGTGGCATCCAGTGGCACGACCATCTCCTCCCTGGGTGCTCCCAAGACTCACCTATAAGGAGCAGCAGCTCCTCACTTGCATTCCCTGGGATCAGCAGGGCTTGGGCAGATAAGGGGGTGCAGCCAAGCTGCTGAAACTGCACCCTGGAAGGAAAGAGTGAGAGCAGAAACCCAGATTACTGGCAGCAGAAGACACATTTTTATGGCAGATAGCTGAACACCCCTTTGTGTGTTTGTGATGCTCTGGGATTTAGCTGCATCTTGTGTTCGAGCACAAGCTTTGCTTTCCCCTTCCCCCCCCAAAAAAAAAAAAATCCCTCAGCCTTTGTGGGGCAAGGGGAGGTCTCTGGAGGAGGGAAGATGAGGGCTCAGCAGAGATGAGCTGCTGGGCTGATTACTGAGGCAGCACAACAGCAAGAATTCCACGGCAGCCAGGCCCTGCACACGTCAAACGACAGGAAATCACTGAATATGCTGAGCTGGGAGACACCCACGAGGATCAGGGCACACTGTGATGAAAACCACGCAAAATCTGGGATTCTACACCGGCTGCAGGGCAGAAGGGCTTGGGCATGGTCTTCAGGGAGGGTCCCACTTTTCCCTTGCACAGGTACGAGCTCCCAGTTACCCTCTGCATGACGACACCCTGACCATGTGCAAGGCAGGCTGAGACCCAGCTTATCAGCAGCTCAGCGTGCTGGGAGTGCCCAGGGGATGCTGGACAGACACACTGATGAGCTGCAGAGCATCCAGCCCCACGGAAGGGAAGCAGTGCAGGCAGGAAATGAACTAATGGGTTTCAATTAAGCCAAACCTTTCATTGCCCGATAAGGAGAGCGAGGAGAGGAATGAAATGCAGGTCTCTGCAAGCACGTGGTGCCTGCCCTGGTGGAGAGCTGCAGCAGAGGCTCTTGCAGCTGAATTCAGGCAGCAAAGCCCTGGCAGCTCTGTGACCACCCATCGTAGGTGTGTGCACACAGTCAGGCAGCTTCATGATCAAAGATTAACTGAGGCTCTGATAATTGGGAATGCTCCGTACTAGAGGCTGGCAGCTGTGCCAAGGGCCCTCCTGTCCCATCCCAGCTCCCATCCCTGCAGCCCTCTGTCCTTTAAGGCAGGATCTGTGCCACCTGCACCCCCCAGCACAACCTTTTCCTCCCGAGGTGACGTGGATGCTGAGAGGGGGGTGTCTGCTGCACCACCAGAGAGGATCCTCACTGAGGATCTGCAGCCAAAAATGGCCCAGCTGGAGACTGGTGCAAGCCCTGCCCCTGTGACATGAACACTCTTCTTCATCCACAAGCCAAGGGGCTCCTTCCTGCCCCCTCCTGTACCCTCTGCAGCCCGTGTGACCTGTGCTGGCTCACAGCTCATTTTCATGACGGAGCAGGGGGCAGCTGCAAACCTCCCTCGGCAGCAGAAGGAAGTCCCAGCCCTGGCAAATTTTAATTCAAATCTAAACCTCTAAATTTGGTTGCCTGCCACAGCAGGAACCTCCTGTTTGCACTATGCAAACTGAAAATAGCCTGTCCCCAGCACTGGCCAGGGGACAGTTGAAATAAATGCAGCCACGGGCTCCCTGTTTCTGTTTTGTGGGTTTAGAGGTCCCAGAACTCAATGAAACCCCAGGAATGAGCTCTGCTCCAGAGCAGCAGATGCCTTTGCTTTGGAGGGAATTAGGCACTGTGAGCACCAGGGTCACTCAGGGCTAATTCTCCCTTCCCTGGGGACCAAGAGGAGATTATCATTATGATCAGGGTTGCTGCAGGACCCGAGAAGGAATTAGAAATAACTGCCTTTACACACAGCCTGCTTGTGCTGTGAGGAGGAGCCAGGTGAAGCAGCACAGGTGGGCAGAGCCAGGACTCAGAATCTGCCCATTTTGACCAGTCAAGGGCTCAAATCCCACTTTACTGAGACCTGCTTTGTGCCAACACCAAAGTGAGTGCTCAGCATTCTGCCTGCATTAAAGGACTCTGCAGTGCACCAGAGAGAAGCCATTTATCTTGATACTTCTCCTGTTATCAGCTCTACTCAAGACCTCCACAATCTCTTCTTAGCCTACATCTTCTAATGCCTCAGAGGCCCCAGGCTTGGAGTCATGTAGTTAAGCCCTTCACAGCACCAAGGCTCAAAGGGTGCATCTGAGTTATGCCAAACCTTCCCAAACTACGTGTTCAAAGAGCCACCTCCCACTGGAAAGGCAATTTTTTTAACCTACCTTTGTCTTTTTTTTGCAGGGCAGCACCAGCACACCACAGTCAGCCTTTGTCCAAATGCCAGGTGAGGTTTTTCCTGCACTGATAAATAACCTTCCATACAGGTTGGGTAGTTGACACAGCCCTGTCTGTTCTCCTCCATAGGACATGAATAAGCAAAGGAGCCCTAGAGCAGGGCCACCCCTCAGAGAGAGCCCAGGAGGAAAGTAATTACAAGAGTTAAAACAGGGACAGCAATAATCTGGTATACAATTCCCAAAGAGAGGAGAGAGAGAGATAATTAAAGCAGTTCCCACCTCTTTCGGTAGAGGAGCCATCCTTCTTTTCTTTCTGCATCTTCCAGTTTTCTCTGGAGCAGAAGAAAGAAAGTACAAAATCAGGAGCTGACCTGTTTCATCCCTTGAGCTCTTGGGCAGGGAAAGGGGAGTGAGGCTGGAACCTCCTCCCCAGGGGCCGTGGCAGAACAAGGGAAAAGCAGAGGCTGACAAAACTGACCTCAATCTCCCCGTTTAAAAAGGAGGGCTCCTATTTAAAGCTTCCCAGATGGAGGTCAGCAGCTGGACCAGGGCAGGCTGGGGTGCTAAAAGCACTTGGGCTCCCACACAGCTGCTTCAAGGCAGGATTGGTTCTTGCTCTGGGGGATGCTGGAGGGAAAAGGGCTCAGGTTTGCACCCACAGGGGTGTCCATGGCTCTGTGGTTCCCAGGTGCTGCTGTCACAGCTCCCCTTTGTCCCACCTGTTCTCTGCCCACCACAGGCTCACCTCCCACCGGTTACTACGGAGTCAGGAGACCCTTCCCAGCCGAGCTGGATCTCCACAACACCAAGCCATTTGTCAGTGATGTCTACTCGTCCCCTCTGGGCTCCAAGCCCTTCTCCTGTGATTCCTCTGCCTCTCAGGGCTACCCAGCCCTCCTGGACCCGTATCTCACCGACCAGTACGGGGATTGCCGTGCTCCCCACCTCAATCCTGCTGCCAGCTCCTTCTTCAGCCCTCCTGCCGTGCCCCCTCTCCTGCCCTCCTTCCCCAGTGACACGGGACACTTCCTGCTAGTGAGTGAGTCTGTGGTTCTGTCCCCCAATAAAAGATCACCCAGTTTAAACCCCGGGGTTAACTCTGGGGGGCTCATGTGGGAAGGACGTGGCTGATACAGGAGGCAGCACAGCAGAGCCCCCAGCAGATGGGGCAGGGCTGTGGGGGAAGGTTCCTTATCTTTGTTCCCATCTAATTTTCCCTTCTTCTGGTGAGAGACCAACCTTCCCTGCTCCCCAAAGCAACTACTGCGTTAAGCTCCTTAAATCTCTAGAAACATCCTTTGATAGCTCCAGCCTATCCCCCATCCCTGCTGCTTCCCAGGAGCCAGCTCCTGTCACACCCCCAGGGCAGAGCTCCTGGACCCTGCAGGATCAGGGCTGCTCAGTCCCACTGGGATCCTATTCCAGGCCTTGATACTTCTCGAGTATCATCCGATGGACAGGACAGAGGTTTCTGTTCAACAGTTTTAACACCAAATGCTGCTCCAGAGCAGCAGAAACCCTTGTGGAACAGGCTCCCCAGGGCAGTGGGCACAGCCCCAAGGCTGCCAGAGCTCCAGGAGGGTTTGGATGATCCTCTGGGACACAGGATGTGACTCCTGGGGACGGTCCTGTGCAGGGCTGAGGGTTGGACTCAATGATCCTTGTGGGTCCCCTTCCAGCTCAGCATGTTCTGTGATTCTGAGCGTTGGGGATAGAAACGCCGTTACCTCCAGGACAAGCTTTTGTTCCTAAGGGTCTTTCTTGCCTTTTCTCCCTGCTTCCCTGCAGAGAGAGCCCTGGGAGCAGAGCTCACCCGACAGCCTGGGCCCGTCGGACGCTGCGTGCTCAGACCCCCTGCAGGCGCTGCCTCCCGGCTCCAGCTGCCTCTCCCCGCCTGAACCCGCAGGTGTCTCCCCGTTCCGGGGCTCAGGTTGGACCCCAGCCATCCCTGGAGCCCAGCCCTACCCTCTGCAGCCTCTGGAAGATGCCCACTGCTCCCCCAGCTCACCCTACGCCTTCTCACCGTTCGCAGCCGAGCCGCCCTCCAGGATGAGCCACCTCTGCCCAGAGCAGCCCTCGGAGAGCCCACACCTCCAGGAGAGCCCTGCCTGGGCCAAAGAGGATGAAAGTGCCCTCTGGGGGCCTTATGAAGGCCGGAGAACTTACTGATGGGAGAGAAGAGCTGGAGGGAAAAGAAACAAATGGACGGTTATTGAAGCAAATTAATGATTTTTCTGCTCCTTCCTAAACCTCCAAACAGGGGGTGCTGATGCTTTGTGCTCTGTTTAGAAATACAGTCGCTTGGAAATACCAAGTGGTGCCTTCTAGTGCCTTATGAGGGTCATTGCTCACAGTCCTGCTGGGCTACAGGTAAAAATATCTGCACCTCATGGGCCTTTCCTACACACAAGGATCTCGGGCACTTCCCAGGGGGCTCCTCCAGCCGTAAGGATTTAATGGTTCTCAGGGTGCTGGCCTCACCTGCAGGGCACAAAACACACCCTCCCCTCGAGGAGAACCAGAGCTGTCCCCTCTTTGGCTCCACCAAATCCACACGCTCCTGGTGTCCGTGGCAGGAGGGCAGGCAGCTCCCAGCATCCAGGCGGGCTGCCACACCGGGAACGGGACTGGTTTCCAGTCCCAGTTTGCCAGTCCGGGCCCCGTGGCCACTAGAGGTAGCTCTGCACACACAAACGCACCGAGGAGCCCCGCGCAACCCTCGCAGATGCGGCAGATCCCGACTTGGGTTTTGTCCCTGGAGGGGGCCACCCCATATGCCCCATCTCGCCCCCAGCCTGGCACCCACAGCAGCAGCACCAAAAGCCTCTCTGAGGGTGAACAGGAGCATTCCAACACCTTGGAATAAGCAGTGATGAGATGCCTTAAAGCTCTCCTTGCCTTTTCTCCTCGAATCCTGGGGATAATGGGGCTTTTGGAGCCTTCACAGCACCTTCCAGGGGTCATAAATGGCACATAAATGGGCTCAGAGCATCTCCCCATGCCATGGTTGTGCCCTCCTTTCTGCTGGTGGGACAGGGAAAGCTCAGCCAAGGGGAAGAGCCCTCAGCCAGGGCTGCTCCACACCCACGGGGCAAGGTGAGCCCAGTTACTCCCAGTCTGGTCTGTGGGCACCACAGGCTCCCATGAGCAGAGGTGTGGAGCATCCCAGGGTGACCCCTGCTCAGCCAGAGCTGCTCCCCTGACCATGGGACAGGGTAAGCCAAGGAGCCCCAGAGCTTCTCAGGGTGTGTGCAGGTCTCCCTGCCCCACAGCCAGCCCTTGTGCCCCCAAACCTGAGTCCTGCAGGAGCCCAGAGCCTTGTTCCACCCCACAGCTGCCCCCAGTGCCAGGCTGAGTCACAGTGACCACCTCTTATCTCAGCTGCTCCTTCCTCAGGGGCTTTCCATGGACAGGGGCACCAGGTCAGCCTGGCTCTGCTGCATCGGGCTCTGAGGGAGAGAAGCAGGGACAGAAGGTTTTTGAGCTGTCTCAGAAGTGTTTGACCCACTCTGGCCTTCAGCTCTTAACCAAGGCAGGGTCTCTGTGAGCCTGGAGCTGCTCCCAAACCCAGGACGTGCAGAACACCCCAAACACAGGTGCCTGGTGTTTCCTTGAGGCACAAGCTCTGTCAGGGAGAATGGCCTCCCTGCTGGGCTCACTCCCCACAGAACTCGAGTGTATTTGTTCAGCTTAAAGAAAAAGCAAAGACTGGGCTGTGACAGCAGCCAGGCTGAGCTGCTGGTAGATCATTAACAGCCTGGCCTGCTCTCTGCCTCAGCCAGAGCTTCCCTGAGCACTGCAGGGACTGTGGTCCCCAGGGAAAAGCTCAAACTCAACCTAAAAACCCCAACCACGTCAGTGTTGTGCAGTTTATCCAAAAGACCTGTCATCCTACACACACTGAACCCCCCCACCTGCAGCTCCCAGGGCAGGCCAGTGCTGAGGCACGTGAAAGAGAGAGGCCAATCTGTGCAGCAAAAGCAAAGGCTCTGAATTAGGGGAAACCACAAATAAACTCCAAAGTGAGCCCAGCACCCGGGCTGAGGGAAGGAATGCCGTGGCAAGAAGTGGGGTTCAGGTACCTTCAGCTACCTGGGTACCCAGAGTAGCCTCTTTGTCACACCCCGCCCGCCCCGCTGCCATTTTGGCCCCAAACCCTCAGCATTTAGCCTTAAAATGTGCAAAAATGTGCAAAAAAGCAGCTCAGTCCCTCGCAGAGCCCTCTCTGCAGGTAGCAAATGAAATATGAGAGGGTTGGAGCCCAGCCTGTGCATCTGAGGGCAAAACACTTGAGCTGGTTTTGAGGCATCTGCTTCATTCTGGGAAAGATGGGTAAAACCCTGCAAATGTCCCAAAAGCAAAGGGTGGGGAGGGTGCCCCCACTGAATCTTATTCCCTCAGACCCTCTGCTAGATGGGGATGTGCTCGGTTTCACAAAAAGATAGCCCATTTTGTGGAGCCTTTGAATATTCAAATTGAAAGTATCGCGCAATCATTGATTGTCAAATCATTGGTTTCTAGAGGTTTTAAATACTTGGCATTAGGAGAGAAAAACTCAAACTTATACCCGTAGGGATAAAACAATAATATTGTCGGGATCCACCTGCCACTGGCACCGGACGGGCAGGTCCCTTCACCCCCAGATTTCGAGCCCGTTCTCCTCTTGCCCCCTTGGGCAGCTCTGGGGCCGGGGCCGGGGCCACCGCGGCTGCAGCAGCGGGTGCCTGGCAGGGTGCTGCCCGTTCCAGCCCAGGATGTCCGGTAAGCCCCGCTCTGCCCCCCACACCTCTCTGTCCCCCGACACCCCGTTTTGGGGCCGTTTCGGGGTTCGCCGGGGTCATTCCGCGAAGCGAGGCGATGCCGCCCTGCCAAGGCAGGAGGGAGCGGGGAGGGCGGGGAGCAGGGAGGGAGGAGGCAGGGGAAGGATCGGCTCCTGCCCGCCCGGCTGCCAGCGGGGCCGGCTCGGGGCACGGCGGGGACCGCGGGCAGAGCCGTCGGGGGGAAACGCGGCTCGCCCATCGCCGGCGCTGCCGCCGCGATCCCCGCGGAGGGAATGGGAGAGGCGGACCCGCACCCCGGCGTGCCCTGCCCTGGGCACGCTGCTCT